ATGGCTTACCCCAAACCGCCAACTGCAAACCCTAAACCTTAAACCCCAAACCCTAAACCCCAAGCCCTAAACCCTAAACCCTAAACCCTAAACCCTAACCCTAAACCCTAAACCCCAAACCCTAAACCTTAAATAGCTTTGCCAATCTAGGGCCTATGGGCAGGGATTAAAGCAGGTGGTGGGCGCTTTTCTTCTATGGTGGTGTAAGGCGTGGTTGGATCTGTCGTTCAATGCAGAACGATTTCTCTCTTTCACGGCGACCTGAGATGATGTTGCTTCGATCTGCTGGTTGAAGGCTTTGGCGGATCTGGATAAGACTTCTCTTGGCTAAGTGGCATGTGAGCGATAGATCTGTCTTGCGGCGGAAATTGAGCTCCAAACCGGTGGGTTCACCACTTTGCGAACATATTAACAGTTGATCTGTGACCAGACCCTTGATGGTAGTTGCGGTTTTCTACCTTTTCCAAGAGGAATGTTATAGGTTGGGTTTGATCTCTGTCACGGTTTGTGGTGGGGTTCGAGAGCTCCAGTCTAAGAATTGGTGTCATGTCTTAGTCGCAAACGAGTTTACCTTGCTAGCGTTGGATTTAGTAGGTATTTTATGTTTTTGGTGTACTGCCCGTTTTCAGATCTCTTTTCCAACAGTCTCCTTCTTTTTCCTATAATATTTGTGATTTCTCCTATTTTATAAATTATATGTCGATTTTTCTGTCAAATTTCCTGTACTATTTCGGTCAAAAATAAAATTTGGCGGGAAAATTTCTGTCGAATTTTTTTTTGTGAAAAATATTTTTAAGTGAAAATTTTTGCAAAAACTTTTGTGCGGGAAACTTTTTGTCGGACAATTTTGGCGGGAAAACTTTTCACGGAAAAAATTTTGGCGGGAAATTTCGTGGAAAGAATAGGAAGAAGTGGTTTAATATGAAAATATGAAATTATAAATTCCAATTAAAATATGAAATTTTTTGATTGGCTTATTTTTAAGTTCATGGCTTACCCCAAACCGCCAACCGCAAACCCTAAACCCTAAACCCTAACCCCTAAACCCTAAACCCTAAACCCTAAACCCTAAACCCCAAACCCTAAACCCTAAACCCTAAACCCCAAACCCTAAACCTTAAATAGCTTTGCCAATCTAGGGCCTATGGGCAGGGATTAAAGCAGGTGGTGGGCGCTTTTCTTCTATGGTGGTGTAACGCGTGGTTGGATCTGTCGTTCAATGCCAGACGATTTCTCTCTTTCAC